CCCCAGGCCGCGACCCTAACCCTGAGCAGTGTGCTCACCGCGGACACGCCAGACCCACGCCACGTCTGTGCAGCTCTGGGAGCCCGCGCCTGGCGAGAGACCCCAGCCTCAGCATCTCCCCCGCAGGGGGCGGGGGGCGGGCGTCCGGGAGCAGAGAACCAGAGCCGCGTGGTGCAGGTGCCGCTGCTCTGGAGCCTTCCTCCCTCTGGGCCTCGGTCCTGGGTGGGCGTCTAAGCCCCCGGGCTCCGGTGTCCTGAGGTGGTACAGTGTCGAACACATTCCCGGGTCAACGTTGGCACCTGTGAAAGTGGACAGGCGGGGTGGGAATGGGGAGAGCCACGCCAGGAGTCATTCCTGGCTTTCTGGAGCCGGTTTGCCACTGGTGAATTCACTGAGAAGTTACTTATCCGACTCTCACCACATGCTGGCCTTTGGCGAGGCTCAGGAGAAGGTGCTGATAGAGGTGGGCTTGGGTCCTGCCCCCCTGGGGCTCACGGCCTGTGGGGAAGGTCTCAGGAGGAGGTGGCTTTAGGAATGAGTGGGAAGCAGACAGAGAAGAGGGGCGGGAGGAAGGCAGAAGCGCAGGAAGCAGCATGTACAAAGGCCCTGGGGTGACTGACATGTGTGGTGGTGAGGTGTGCCTGCGGGTGCTGTGTGCTTGCTGCCTGTTAACAGGGGACAGGTCAGCTGCCCGAGGATGGAGAGAACAGGGCCCTCCTGAGTGACAGGAGGGCATCCAGCCTCTGATGGGGGTGAGTGGATAGGAACTCGGGCCTTATTTTTGGGCAATGATCTGCCTGTGCAGTTTCTCAAACGTTAACGTGAGAAACACAGATTCTGAGTCAGCAGGTCTGGGGTGCGGCCTCACCCAGGTTCTGCATTTCCAGGAGCTCATGGGAAGTGAGCACGGCTAGTCCCGGAGCCCACTGTGAGCAGCAGGGACCTCGACTCCCCATGCCAGGGGCCGGCCCTGTCCTGGCGGGCCTGGGGGACATCAGTGTGCGGGAGAGAGGGGCTCTCACAGGCCTGACCCTCATGGGCCACCACTGCACTTTCCCTTTTTCTGTTGGGAAGTTCATTTCTGAGTTGAGAGCTGAGCCTGAATTCTTGCTGTCTCTGCGTGTGTGTGTGTGTGTGTGTGTGTGTGTGCACGCACACGCTTGATCGACAGCTGAATTGTGCTGAGTATTTGTTATTTTTTTTGGATCATCCTTGAGCCCTTGGGAGGCACACAGATGTAAGGCTGCTTCAAAATCCTTTCCCACTGGCTCCTTGAAAGGCTTGGGACTTCCCGTTGGGGGTGACTGCCTGCATCTGTGGGAGGCGACAGTGCTGAGCGCTGCTGGTCCGGGCACGGGGAAGGCTCCTCGAGGCCCACGCAGCTCACGGACCCGCGAGTGGCCCTCAAGAGGGACGCGTGTCTCTGGTGGCCCCGCACTGCCCACGGGGCCCGGCTGTGTGCTGCCCGCAGGAAGAGGCCCGGCATTTCTCTGGAAGCTCCAGGACCCGAGGTCGGCCCTGCCTCTGTAACTCACACCCCAGGATGCGGAAATAGCTGACCTACAAACTGCGGTGGCTGCTCAGGGGGAGAGGGCCTCGGCTCCCGGGCATCCACCCTCCGATTTCGGGCACAGGTTTGCGTGGCTGGGCGTGGTCCCCTCCCCCAGCAGCCTTGTGAGGTCCTACCTGAATCCGCTCCATTTCACGGAGGAGGGGACTGAGGCTCAGAGGGCCAGGGTCGTCCCAACGCCGCCACGCCCTCTTGTTTGGTTTTGTTCCATCCGAGAAGTGTGCCAGCCGTGCCGGGGGCACCTGATGAACAAGATGTAGCCAGTGCGGTGAACGCCGTTTGCAGGTGGTGAGTTCGTTACTGGGCTGCCAGCCTCCGTGCACCCTGGATACAGAGACTGCCCGGAGCCAGCCTCCGCTCCCAGTGGCGGGGCCCTAACACCCCTTCAGGGTCCTCTGCTGGTTGGCGTGGCTTCTGTAAGCCCCTTTCAGGTGCTTTGAGGCACAGAGCCAATGCCTCGTTTCCAAGTGGATTTTATAGGCTCATCGGGGAACAGAAGAGGGAAGGGCATGTCAGGTGTCCCGGGGGCAGAGACTCACCACCTGGGTCCGGAACTGGCTTGTGGGCTGGGCAAGAGGCAGGCTGGTGGTGGTCGAGGTGGGGGCTCTACTGCCCACAGAGGGTGTCTGCGTGAGCCGAGGGTGGACGTCACGTTTTCTTTTCCTTCCGGGGGAGAGGCCTGTGGCTGAGGACCAGGGTGCTGAGGCCGGCCACTCCCATCCCTGGAATAATGTCCGGGGACGGCGGCTTGGGGTTCCATCCACAGCCTGGGAGATCACGACCCGAGCAGAAATCAAGAGTAAGACGCCACTCGACCGAGCCGCCCAGGCGCCCCGCGGCTCTCTCGGTTTCTTTTCCTTCCTCGTAGGTGGGGACAAGGACAGGAGCTGCCCCGTGGGTCTGGGGTGTAAAGAAGGTTGAGGTGCACGAGCTGAGTCACCCGGTGCCGGCCCGTGGGTGGGAGATAAGGGGACACCAGGGCGTGGCTGCTGGCTCCGGCACCCTCACCCCCGCGGAGGCAGCTGGGTATCCCTTCCTCGAGGTAGGGCGGGGGACCGAGGCTCACCGCTGGGGCTCCGAGGGGCTGCCCGCCGCAGAGAGGGGCTGCCTGCCGGGCTCCCCCAGGGCTGACCCCTCTTGGGCGGCTCCTGCCACGGACTCCCGGGGCCCTGGCCTCGGGAGCCAGATCCTTCCGTGGGTTAAGTTGGTGGTAGCAGAAGGATTCTGTCTGGCGCACAAAGAGTGGACTGGTTGCCAGAGCAGGGGAGGAGACCCTCACCCGGGGCCTTCGCCTCCCCTGGCTTCATCACCTTAGTCACGACAGAGCAGGTGCTGGGACCTGAAACAAGACAGAGTCCCCGGCCCTGAAAGGCTCATTCTCAAATGTTGGAAAGAGGCCCCGTGAACTGCGCTGGAGGGGAGCGTGCAGGGTCTGGGGGTGGGGTGTGGGGGGTACTGAACCAGGGGAGGAGTCTGAGAGACTTCCTGGAGGTGCTGTCTGTTAGACTGAGGTCTGAGAGGCGAGTGGGAGTTACCCAAGGCATTAGGAGTGGGGGCAGGAGAAGGTCCCCGCACGAGGAACGGTGTGTGCAGAGGTGCGGTGGGGCTGGTGCTGAGAACGGAGGTGGGGGAGATGGGCTGTAGGGAGAGGGCAGTCCCAGAAGCCGCTGGACAAGGAGCTCAGCCCCAGCAGGGGCCCGAACGCCTTGGTAGGGGGTGAGCTCCCTGCCCTCCAAGGTGTGCAAGCAGAGCTCCGCTAGCTGGGGCTGGGTGAGGATGTCGGGTTGTGGATTTCACCCCGGCCAGCCGGGTTAAACAGGCGTCCAGGCCGCTTCCGGCTGTCCCACTCAGGCTCCTGTAAATCCCCTCTGGGAGCGGCGAGACTATGAAATATAAATCAGTAGGTTAAAAATACACTTGTCTCCTGCTTGCCCGGGGCCCTGTCACTCTGCCCGCCTCCCTCGGTCTTCAGAGGGTCCCCGCTCGGCTCAGCCGCCCGAGAGCCCGGCAGGCGAACGTGGCTTTGTTCTGAGCAAGAGGCGGGGTGTTGAGCCCCCACTGCCGAGGCCTTGAGTCCGTGTTTGATCACTGCTGCCTCCATCCAGAGCGCTCGGTCCCGGCCCGGCTGGCACCCCCCCTCCTCACTCTTCCCTGCTTTCATCACCAGGAAGAGGAAGCTCAGACAGAGGATCTGGGGCAGCCTCGTCCCCCACCCAGTGGAGGCCATGCGGGGCGGGGAGGACCCAAACTTGGAGCCGGCCAGTGTGGTGACCCCAGATTAACCAGGCTAACGGCTCTGCTGGTGGCTGGTGGGGGGGGTGTCCCCAGGGTCCCTTCCTGGGTTCCCATGGCAACGGAAGTATGAGGAGCAGCTAATAGGGACCGACAGCGAGCGGCATGAAATGGGATGCGTGGGACAAGGCGCTGGCTAGTGCACCCCCTGGGGACAAGGCGCTTCTCCCTGCCAGGCAGGCACATCCCCCCTTCCTTTCTGTGGGTGTCCCTCCGTCCGTCTGTACATCTGGAGGAACTTTCGGGGGCCCCGAAGCACATGTTATTATGTAACAGTTGCCTTTCCTGCAAGGGACAGGCCCGGCTTCGCTGGGTGGGGCCCCGTGTGCATGCGGAGTAGCCGGGGGGCTGCGAAGCAGCGTGAGCCCCGTCGGTGATATGTGGACCGCCGCCCTTGCCTCGGCTGCTCCGTGGGCCTTCCCCAGGCCCGCGCTGGCTCCCGGGGGGCCTCTGCTCCCGTGTGGGTGCCGCCCCAGCAGGGTTCTGGGCCGGCCTCAGGTGGTCCTTAAAGGCCCTGGGGGGCCGAGGCCCCATCTTCCCAAGCCTGGCCAAATGCGTTCTCGGCCCAGCCTGGGAACACGACCTCAGGGGACCCTCTGATCATGGTTTGAGATCATCTGGGGCTGATTTTGAGTTTTCCTGCTCAGGGGCGCCAGGGGGCTCAGTCGGTTAAGCGTCCGACTTCGGCTCAGGTTGTGATCCCACGGTTTGTGGGTTCGAGCCCCGCATCGGGCTCTGTGCTCACAGCTCGGAGCCTGGAGCTGCTTCGGATTCTGTGTCTCCCTCTCTCTCTGCCCCTCCCCCACTCACACCCCATCTGTCTCTCTCAAAAATAAACACACATTAAAACATTTTAAAGACTTTGTCCTGCTGACCGGCAGCTACTGGGAGGCCCTGGCAGGGTGGGGATGGTCCCGAGGTCACTCTGAGAGGGGAGGGAGGCTGCAGGGAGGACACCAGCCTCCAGTGTGGCGCTCTGCCGCAGGGGCCCTGGGGGCCGCCTGGGAAAGCCGACAGAAAGGCCGGGGCCCCTGCGGCTCCACGTGCCCCACGTCCCGGGTCGGGAGCGCCCCACATCCGTCTTTCAGAACCGTGAGACTCGCTGATGTCTGCCTTTGTCTTTCTGTTGCCACTACAGGTGATCTTGATCCTGACGAAGTATTACCATGCCGACATGGGGAAGGTTCTGGAAAGTTCTCTGTGGCGGTAAGTCAAGCCGAGGGCGGGCCTCTCCCCTTGGGCACCTGCACGTCTTCCAAGGCCGAGGGCCGAGATCCAAACGCCCGGCTCAAGCGGCCCTGTGAGCTGGCGGCCTCCCAACTTTTCTTCGGGTGCGAAGTGCACGTAGGGGATGGGGCGGTGGGGGGGGAGGAAGCGACGACGGGGGTCGGGGGTCGTCAGCGGGGCACAGGCAGCCCTGGAGGAAAGCCGCTCGCCTTCCCTGCGCTCTGCTTTTGCTCTCCCCCGCCCCTCCCCTGCCTTTTCTCCTCCCCGGAGGAAGAGGGTTTGCATGGGGACTTCAGGTCGGGCAGCCCCTCCGCTGGCGCCCCGGACTTGAGACGCAGCTCGCGGGCCGCCAAGCTCACGATTCTCCCCATTGTCCACACTGTTCTCTTCCTTCCTGACTCAGCGGAAGCGCTTGGTGAATAAATAACCCGCTGGCGACGGGGGAGTATCTCTATGTGAGATGCGAATTCAGTCCGAGAACATTAAGCAGCCCCTTTGATGTTTCAAACGAGGTGGGAGAGGAGGGGGTTTGAGAAACCGTTTCGGCTGTGTCGTCTTCAGTATTTACAGCTGCTCAGCGGGGCAGGAGCGGGGGGCTCCCCGCGGCCCGGGCAAGGGCTGCGTGTCTCCGCGCACCGCTCCCACGCTCCCTGGACGTGCGGCCGTTTTGCTTTTCAAGGTGTGTTTCTCCAGCAACTGTGAATTCGTTTTTCGATTTGGAACCCGTTAAAAACCACCTCTGCCCGCCCATCAGGACTCCGGTGTGCGTGTGGCCCCCTCGAGTGGATTTATTTTTGGCGTTTGGCTTTGCTTCCGGGCCGGCGGCTTGATGATTCCTTCTGTTGGTTCTTGGGGGGCGGGGGGGGGGCGTCTGTGAGGCTTTGGGAAGGTGTTGAAAGGGTACCTGGAGCCGGGTCCTCTCCTTCTTGCATAAGGGATGGGGGTGACTTGGGGCGCCTGGCGTGGTCGCCAGCAGTGCTGATCGGGCCAAGCGGGGGGGAGCAAGCAAGCCGCTCGCAGAGCCCTGCGTGTTTCTTGCCCCTCCAACCAGAGAGCCCCTCCCCGCCGGCTCCTCTGGGCCGCAGATTCGGGGGTCCCCCCCCCGCAGCCTCCCAGGCCCCGCCCCGCAGAGTCCCCGGCCCCCCCCCCCGCAGCCTCCCCAGGCCCCTCCCTGCAGCCTCCCCGGGCCGCCCCCCAGCTCCTGCCATGGAGGGCGTTCCCTCTTGCCCAGTGGTCGGTCCAAGGAGGGCCCCCCGGGCTGCGAGTGAACAGGGGCACTTGGGTCTTCTGTCACCTTGGATCCTGGGCACAGTCCGCGGTGGCCGCCTCGTTGGCCCCAAAGGATACACACCAGCTTCATCCTGAGGTTCCCGGTGCCATCTGTGCCCACGGGACAGAGCTGTGGGGGGTACGTATCGCTTGCTGCCCACCCTCCAGGGCGCCGCGGTGGGGACGGGCGGATTGGGGCGGAATTCTTGCTTACGGGCTCCAGACTCCGATTGCTCGGACGTGGGTAGAGCAGCTGAGAGGGAGGCCAGGCACCCACCTCCGGGCTGCTCCAGGGGTCTCCGTCCCCTCTGTCCCCGCCCGGGGCAGCCTGAGGGCCCGGCGAGGTGGCCCGGAAGGTCCCCAGAACAGCACATGGTCTCGAGTTAGTGTTTCTCCAAAGCTGATCCACAGACGACTTCTCCGCGTTCTGCCTCCTCACGGTCGTGGCGCAGACGTTGGCTCTCCGTGATTAGAGCTACATGCAGGGGCATCAGCCGTGCCAGGAAGGCTCGCCCCCGCCCTGCGCCCGTGACCTCTGGCGCAGCGCCGTCAAGTTCTTGGTGGATCCTTCTGGCGCGGACAGATCTGTACGGTCAGACGTGGAAAGCAGGTCTGCGCTCTCCTTGCTTCACGCGGCTCTTGCCGGGTTCTCCAGGTGCGACCGCGTCTGCATCGGCGCCCTCTGTGGCCTGTGGCCGTGAACTCGCCCTTGGGTGGTTCGTTCTGACCCTGAGCCACATCGCTACCGTAAAAAACTGCAGGCGTGTAGTTTCCCTCCACCTTTTGCTGTCTGGGCAGAAGGGCCTGGAGGTAACGACCGAGCCGGAGAGTGAGCTGCTGACCGGTCGGCACACTGCAGGCCCCCTGAGCGGGTGGCCCGCTGGCCCGCACCGCCGTGGCCCAGGGGCCTTCTGTTTGCGTCCCTTTGGTTCCTGGCGGGCGAGGGTGAGCAGTTTGTGTGTTTAACTGCCAGTCACACTTTCCTCCTGTGAGCAGTTTCGGCTCACGCCCTCTCTGTTTTGGGACGTGTGTGAGTGTGTGTCTTTACCAGTGGAAAGGTTGCCACTGGCCTTGCGTGGGGAGGCCACCCCACCTCCGTCTGGCGGCCAACGCCCACGTGGATGGGGCTGCCGGAGCCCGTGCCCAGATCACGGGGATTAGAGACACGCTCAGCGGCGCGCCCTGAGCCTCCCCAGGGCTCTCCCATGGGGTCCCCGTGAATACGTTTTTAAGGACAGGTGTGGTATTCACGTCCTGGCAACGGCTCTCTGGGATGTAAGCGGAGTGCATCGTTAATTGTCCTGCATTTCACGGGCCCCATGGCGGCGGCACGTCCGCACCCCGTCCAGCCTTCAGCGTGGGGCCGTGTCCTCCACTCTTGGGCGGGGGCACGGGGAGGGAGCCAGCCTGTGCCTCCCATCCTCTGGAGAGCTTACCCGTTGGCTTCAGAGCTGGTCCTCTGTGGGCACCTCCCATCCTGGGGCCCCGGGGCTGATGGCAATAGGAGGAACATGCTCACCCAGACCAGCCTGCCTGGCACTTGCCTGATGTCCAGCCTGTGCCAATGTCCTGGGGCCGCTGAATGAAGGACACAAAGTAGGGACTTTAAAGCAGCAGGAATGTGCTCTCTCACAGCCCTGGAGGCCAGAGTCTGAGATGAAGCTGTGGGTGGGGCCAGGCTCCCCCAGGATCCTTCATGCCTCTTCCGGCTCCTGGGGCGGGGGGCCTTCCAGTCCCCGCCCCCAGCTTCAGCTTCAGACAGCCTTTCTTTTGTGTGGCTGTCCCCTGTGCGTGCCTTATAAGGACACTTATCGTTGGATTCAGGGTCCACCCACGTGATCTGGGGTGACCTCGTGTCTAGAGCTCTGACTTAATTACACCCACAACCACCCCTCAAGAACCTGCCCGCACACGGAGGTAGGGCATGGACGCACCTGTTTGGCTGTGTCATTCAGCGCACCGCACGGTCATCACCCCTGCGGGCACCCCGCTCAGATCTGACTTCCTAAGTAGCTTTTGCCGCCAACCCCCATCCTCAGCCACGCTCCCTTCCTGCGTCTTCCTCTGCTGGCGGCTTCCCCAGACCCACACCTGTGTCTCCCGTCCACCTAGTCCAGGTCGGGGCGTGGGGGAGGGGGGACCCCGTGGGCCGAGCCGGAAGCCTCGGGGCAAGTATAGAAGAGCGCGGGCGCGCGCCGTCCATCTGAGAGCTGATGTGCGACTTGCATCTGCTCCAGGGTGGGGCCAGGCAGTTGCGAGGCGAAGATCAGCAGCGCTTGGAATACGAAATTCAGACGGACGTGATCTGTAAATGCTCCCCTGCCCCCGATCCCCCCTGTCCTAGGCGAAGGGACAGATGGGCACCCCGACACAGATTGGAGGCGAAGTCCCCAGCTGGCACTGCCCGGGCCCCCTCGGCCTGAGGGCTCTCACCTGGCTGCGGATCGGCCCTGTTCCCTGCAGGAAGCCTTTGAGACATTGTTCTAGATGCCCCTCCGCCCCCTACTGTATTTCTGTTCAGTGTGACTCGCACCTTATACCTAAAAACGTGAGATTCTTCATACCCCTCAAGAACCGGTTTTTGCCCCTTGAGAGCGATTTTGTCCTCAGTTGAAAATCTATATCCTGAAGAAGAAGTTCCCTCGCTTCCAGGTGCGTGGGAATCAGGGGGGGAGGGTCTTGTTAAAATTCAGGTCCTGATTCCTAGGTCGAGGGTGGGGCGAGGCTCTGCGCTGTTCACAAGCCCCCGGTGACACTGCTATTGCTGGCGCACCGAGCACACTTGCAACAGCAGGGCCCTTGCTTATCCTGGGGTCGCCTGGGGGCCTTGGCAACGCCCCCCCCCCATCTGTGCCTGGCCTGGGCCCGCGGTTGGCATGGTCCGGGCTGTGGCAGGGCACGGTTTCAGCGTCCAGCCTGGGCTGGGCCTGGGGAGGCCCACTTGGCATCACCACAGCTGGATCCCAAAGGGCCGGCTGCCTCCTAAATCTGTCAAGAAGGTAAATGCAAGCCACGGAGGTTTGAGGCGTATGCAAATAGTAGATGATGGGGTCCTCGGTGGGAGGGAGGGAGGCAAGGGACACTTGGAAATCTCTCAAAACCACTGCCACTCGGGCCAGGCCTTGGGAGACGCAGACTCAGCGTGGAGACTCCCCAGGACCCCCAGGAAGGACAGACTCAGAAGGTGCTGGCTTAGAGCGTTGCCACACTGGTCCGACACCCCACTTTGAGTAGCCGGGGTTCGGCTGCTTGGGAGAGAGGCTTAGCATCCTGCTGTGGCTTCCCGGGGACCCGGATAAAAGCCCCGGCTCCTACCCCGCTCCCCAGCCCAGCGCCCCTTGCTGCTCAGTGACCAGCCAGCCTGCCCAGCTCGGCCCATGTAAGGGGGCGGTGCCTGCTGGGGCTGCCTGCCTGGAGTGTGCTTGGCATTGACCCTCAGGTACTGGCCCCTTGTGGGCACTTAGTCTCAGTATAAACCTGTTTTCTTCAAAGAGGCCACCACCCCACTCAGTGCAAAGTAGCCCCCGGCGTTCTTTATTGCATCTCCGCTTGAGCGAGGGGGTTCTTGGGTATGGTTTACCCCCCTTTGCCCCACCCAGCACATGTGCTTACTGGGGGTGGGGATCAGTCAGGTCCACCCTGGTGATCGCTGGATGCTCAGAGCCCATCACAGATCTGCCACAGGCTGGGCATTGGATGGATGGATGATA